CAGTGGAGACCACTCATGACAGAGGCAGATGGCGAGGTCTCGCTGACCAATGTTCCCAACGGAACGGGAGGAACTAAGACTAAGACACCTATCGTGTTTAAGCCTAACGGAATGTCTAAGTTGGTGCAATTTCTTCTTGAACTTCATAGTTGCAGTGTGGATAAGATATCCAAAACAAATAGGATGTAGGTTACCTTAAATATATAGATATGTATATAAGTAAGTGCATGCAGTGTACATTATGTAAACATGAAACTGATACCGCTTGTTGTTACTCAACTAATACAAAATGTGCAGGATAAAAAATTATATGTAAATTAATCAATTCTAAAACCACCAGACTTTATGACATACCCTTTATCTTTACGTTTTTCCAAATACTTCTGCTATAAAACGTTTTATAAATACTTGTTTTGTATGAGAATGACTAAAAGCCAACGAGGATCGTTTATTCGTTTGAGAGGAAAACTGTGCCTATTGCAGGTATCGAACCTAGATTTTTAGCAATACAAGCCCTCGAGTTTACAGATGAGCCAGCAGGGGCAGTAAAGACTAACAAGAAATTCGTGTTAAAAACAATAAATATATCGTAGGTATTTTAGCACTGATTTGCAATAATGTACATCTCGTGGATATCAATAAATTATGAACCATTCAGTTAACGCTGCATTTAATGCACAGACGGACGTAAAATGAAAGTGACGTAGACAATTTACAAGAATGCGTCATTATGACAGTGTCCTTTCGTTTTCTATACTGTAAATGAAACAAACGAAGGCAGCTAAAATACACTATACATAACGCTTGTATCATTGTATCATTTCACTTTTAGATAGGTAAGGTTCTCTGTGTTCTGTTTTTACCCCTTCTGACGCCATAATCCCGCCACATGAGCGCTGCGACAGTTGTTTTTGCTTGTATTGTAAACAACTTGTTTTAAACTAAAACAAGGTCTTGCTTTTTAAAACAGGAGTGTTTTATTATTATTATTTTTTCAAGAAGGTTAATTGTAAATAAACATTACGACAAGAGTGGCGAATAATATATATATATAATATTTTCTGATCGAAATTCTCTTGGTTCTAACTTTAAAAATTACATACAAAACAATTCCCGTGAAAATCTGAGAACAGAGAATTAATAATAAATCACCGAATATTTTACTATTATAGACATTTATAGTGTAATATTAATATTAATAATTACCTTATATTAAAAATATAAATCTTTTATTTGTTGAAGGTTTTTCATTTCATGACATTCTGGAGAAGTTTGTGTCATATTGACTTATGATATTACCGAGAATACTGAAACTAATTTTTTGGTATATTACACAGTAAAACTAATTTCAACCAGAGCTAAAACTGACTGCTATTTCAGCTTAATACCATTAATAAAATTTACAACGAAAGTTTTTTAAAAATATATTTCAACACAATATAATTGAAGTATAAATTTACTAAGTTAACTAAGTATTTAAAAAAAAACACGTCGATTGTTTACTTAAGTTCTCGGAAGTTTTCAGAACGACACATGAAATCTTTATACTGCATAAAATGTTTCGCGAGCACTCTCAATACTTCTATAGATAAATATAAAACAACAGTTCCTATTTACTGTGTGGTATATTCAGGTGAACGTTTATTGTTTTTTTTGCTTTTTTACATAGCGTGACTTAATGATTAGAAGTTTTTCACAAGCGATTTAAACGATATAAAATTCGAGTCAGACAATACTAATTTGATTACTGTTTTGAACTGATTGTTCAGTTAGCGAGTATATTATTGAGTTTGTTGGTTAATTCCGTTCCAGGACATTATGTTTCAATGAAAAACTAGAGATATGAGAAGTACAGTAAGTACGAATAAATAAGAAAACAAGTAAATAGAGTTTTTTTTATGAAGTTAGGCCTATCGTTTGTTCATGAAGCTGGGCGATTTGTAGAACTTGTAATCGAAGATAGAAAACGCTTTCCTTATAAAACAGACTGGACTTTGCATTATACTTCTATCAATT